CTGTGGCCCTCCACCGTCTCCTTTTGCAAGAAAAACGAATTGATCGCGACGCGACTTACGGAAGTTTATATTACAAAGAGATGGAAAGATTTTTCCAAAAAGGATACGCGAAGATGGCAGTCAATGAGCCGACAGGTAAAAGGGTTAGGTATTTGCCACATTTCGGAGTACAGAATATAAATAAGCCTGGCAAAGTACGGATAGTTTACGATTCAGCCGCAGAATCCAGAGGGAAGAGCTTTAATAGTTTCTTGTTAGCGGGCCCAGACCTCTTAAAATCATTGTTAGGAGTGTTGATGCGTTTCAGGCAGTTTGCCTACGCGATCAAAGCGGACATACGCGATATGTTCTTGAAAATTAAAATCAGTAAAGAAGATCAGGATGCGCAGCGTTTTCTATGGAGAGGCGCGAATCGGACGGGCGAACCGAAAGAATGCATATTCACATCAGTTTTGTTCGGCGCGAAGTCGTCACCCTGCACAGCAATTTACATTAAGAATAAAAACGCGTCACAGTATCTATCACGTTTCCCCGCGACAGCAAATAGTTTAATAGAAAATTGCTACATGGATGACTTCTTAGATAGTTGCGAAACGATTACCGAAGCCGCGGAACGGGTTGAGCAAGCTATAACCATCAATGAGTTCGCGAATTGGGAGATGCACGGTTGGGCCAGCAACGCGCCGGAAGTCCTAGAAAATCGGAAAATTGATGACAATGCGGGTACTTTAGTGAAAGAGGATGTGAATAAGCTTAACAACGAGAAAATTCTCGGGTTGAAGTGGGCAAATTCGTCGGACGAGTTAATGTTCAACTTTAATCAAAAGAAAATCACGGACGATTTTTATAGTGGTCAGAAAAGGCCAACAAAACGCGAATTCCTAGGGGTCATAATGTCAGTTTTCGATCCGCTTGGGTTCCTTACACCTTTCACTATACAATCGCGAATATTGATGCAGAACATCTGGTCCAGCGGTATAGGTTGGGATGAGGCCTTGCGCGACGAGGAATTCGAACACTGGCGGCAGTGGTTACATGATTTGGAAAAAGTAAAGATTTGCAGTATTCCTCGGTGTTATCAAAATTATGATTATCAAGTTAGGGAAGCAGAATTACACGTTTTCTGCGACGCGAGTACTAAGGCCTACGCAGCTGTAGCTTATTGGAGATTCATCCTAAATAATGATTCATTTCATGTTGCTATCATCATGGCGAAAAGTCGTGTAGCACCTTTAAAGCCGTCCACGATACCGCGATTAGAGTTGCAAGCGGCACTTGTAGCGACGAGGTTAGCTAGGACAATCGAAAAGGAACACGATTTCAAAATTAAACGCAGAGTATTCTGGTCAGATTCCCAAACGGTTTTACATTGGATAAGCAAAGACCCACGAGAGTTTAGAGTTTTTGTAGCAAATCGATTAGATGAGATTCGCGAGAATTCGGAAATCAAAGAGTGGAGATGGGTCCCGACGAAGGATAACCCAGCAGATGACGGAACGAGAGCCGCGCCGAATGCGTTAGACAAAGGTAGCAGATGGTTAACGGGACCGCCCTTCTTGCGCGAAATAGAATCTTCATGGCCATCCAACAAAGATAAGTTTAACGGGAATCCGGAAGACTTGGAATATGTAAAAACGCTTCGATCAGTCATGAGTATAGAAGGAGAATTGGCCATTATTGACTTTTCTAGATTCTCCTCTTTGAATCGACTCTTATTTGTTGTATCCCGCGTATTAGAGGCCATAGATATTTGGAGGAATAGAAAGCATACGTTAATAGAAAGAAGAGTTAATGCAGAAAAAATCTGTTACAAATTGAGTCAATCGATTTCATTCGCGGAAGAGATAAATTGCATTAAGAAATCGAAAAGCATCCCTAAGAGCAGTAAGATTGCTCCATTAGGCGCGTTTTTAGATATGGATCACGTTTTGCGCGCGGAAGGACGATTAAAAAATTTCATTGGACAGGACTTTGAGACCCAACCGATTATTTTAGACGCGAGAGAAGATTTTGCCCGACTCCTAATTAAAGATTATCATGAGCGGTTCTACCACGGAAATCATGAGTCGGTGATTAATGAAATAAGGCAAAGGTTTTGGATTGTGGGGTTGCGGCAAGCTTTAAAAGGCCTGGCTGCAAGATGCATCATTTGTACAATACGTCGAGGTCTACCAGCGAAACCAAAAATGGCCGATTTACCGCCCGGTAGGTTAGCAGGTTTCCTACGTCCATTTAGCCATTGTAGCTTAGACTATTTCGGGCCGATGCAGGTGAAGATAGGTAGGACGTGAGAAAAGATGGGGAGCCCTGTTTACGTGTTTAACTACGCGAGCGATCCACATCGAGCTCGCGCACAGTCTAAGTACGGACTCGGCAATTATGGCTTTCCGAAAATTTTCATCGTTAAGGGGTACACCGGTATGCGTTTATTCAGACAACGGCACGAATTTTAGAGGCATGCACGCCGAGCTGAAGCAGGCGATTAAGGATTTGGACTGTACAGAGATCGATAATTTTGCGTGTAGAAATAATATAGAGTGGAAATTCAATCCGCCTACGGCGTCACACATGGGTGGAGCGTAGGAACGAATGATCAGATCGGTAAAAACCACACTAGCGACAGTGCTTAAAGAACAAGCACCTAGGGAAGAGGTTCTGTTAACTTTACTAGCAGAGGTAGCACACTGCGTGAATTCACGTCCGCTTACACATGTGCCGATAGATCCGCGAGAGCACGAGGCTTTAACGCCTAATCATTTTCTATTCGGGACCTCGTCAGGTCAAATTAGGATAGCGAAGTGTGACTTAGAGGCCACGTGCCCGCGAAAACAATGGCGTATCGCACAAT